GTCTTTTTCATATATCAAACCAAACCCAAGAAGATTTTCGTACAATTTGTCTTTTCTGAGCTAAAAGATTTGTGAATGATGATATCACATCCTTTCCCTAGAAGACATGAACACACTTTTCTCCTTTTTTTGTTTTTGGTTTTATAGTTTTCTGTTTTTAATACAAGTTTGGTGGCTTGCATTTCCAAACTTGTTCATGTCTTTGTCCACATTTTTGTCAAACAGTTTGTGTTTTATGGAAACATTATTCCGTAGTTAGACCACCAACCTTTCTGTATGTACTCACTTTATATATTGTGTGCTTTACTCACCCTAAATCAAATCGATTCAGCAATCAACCTTTCTCTATTAACTATGGATGTTCCAAAAGCGTCAAGACTCTGGCTAATCTTTGCAGTGTTGCTCTTTGATAGTCACAGACATTCAGGTGCTTGTCAGAGTCAGATTCTTTTGTTCAGTCGTTAAGTTGGTTTGTTTTTCATTCTTTTGAGATTGTTGATGCAGTCTATGCACAGGGTGGCGTCATCGGAGGCGCAGGGATTTTAGTTCAGAGAGCCGCGTTCTGTTTCAACAACAACCTGGTAAGTATGATTGATTGATAAAACCCGTAAAAGAGAGCACCTTTTCAAAATGGTTTATTTTCTTCATTTTTGCAGCTCTACAGAGGGTGTAATGAGGCGTTCAGACTAAACGAGCGAGGTGAATTCAAGGTACCACCTGAGGAAACAGACAGGTTCTGCAATGGCCCTTGTGCCGCAGAGACAGAACTTGTGCTTACATGTGTTAACAGTGTCATGTCGGATTTCGTGTTCTACAATCGGGCTACCCCGAGAGATATCAGGAACACCCTCCGTGGTGGCTGCAGCTCCTCTTTCACACGAGGTTTAACTATCAATATCCTAACTTTTCATCCTTACACAACCTGCCGGGAAACATAACTTGTTTTGTGCTTGGATATACAGGGAACTTCAATGTGGGAGATTATGCTCAAGGACTCTTTTTTGGCATGGCCGAGAAAAAGCTGCCTGGTGGTTTGTTCATTGGACTAATTCTCGGTTTGGCGCCGTTGATCCTGTGAAGCCTGCTTTTGTCAATCAGAATCCTGTGGATGCCATACAGGAGCATGTATGTAAATGAGGTTGATGGCCATACAGGTTGATGAGGAAGAATCTCATTTAGTGGCCATCAACCTGTATAGACAAAACCTAACTGGCTCTTCTTTGAATCATCTAAATTCATAAGCTATCTTTATTTATTACTCTAAAACAAAGACTTCTTTCTTCTTTTACCCGAAGCTTTTGTGTCATGGTCTCAATCCTACATAGGAAAACTACGGTTAAATTTCCATGTCAGAGTTTGAACATTTATTTACACTTTCCTCCTTTGTTTCAATTGCCTGATGGCTTGTTAATTGTCAGAAGCTGAGGTTTGCTCGGAATGGAACTTAGGCTTCTTCTTCAAATTCTTCGGGTTATCCATGTGGGAGACCTGCACAAATTGCTCACGTTAGATTCCAAGTTTTACACACCAAAGGCCATTTAAATCACATATCTTTAAGTTATCTTCAAACTCATATTTCTATATAAGTCTTGAAACCTGAAGATTTTGGCTAAACAAATCGGCTTAAATTACCACATAAAAGAAAAGGGTGTTTAAGAGAGCTACTTACAATGTGAGATTTCCACTGGACAGTCTCTAAACTACTGTCATGTGGAGGATGATCGCGAACATGGCGAAATATGTGAATCAGCACCGCAGCATCGAGAGCAGCATACTCCAGCTGCACAATCCAGTTATCATCAGATTCAATAGTTACACTTTCACCCTCTCCCGTACTCATAACTCCGTCAAGTTAGCCTCTAATTATATAACAATTGTGGTCCCTTCCGAATTCTAGACAACCAAAATATGAAACATTCTCCAGCGGTTTTTCTCGTGTCAGTCAGGTTCTAGCTGAACAGATAATGAATAAAATTAGTAAAATTATATACCTGATTCTGAGTCAAAGGCCTTTGTTCCCAGTCACTATTGCGTCTTGTTTTGTTTAAATCCACTCCCAGTATTTTCTGATACCAAACAGTATATAAACAAGTTGAGATATTAAACTTTATATTTACCTTTCGAAGTGGTGATTCAGATGTATTATCAAATGATTTTGTGAATTACGAGCTAGATAGCAAAAGAAAAGCTCACCTTCGTTAGTCTTGATAAACCACCACATGGTTCTTTGAAAACATTTTGAATGTCTAGCAACATATCATAGCGCTTGAAACACTCCAGATCCCCATATGAACGCGCCAACTGCCTGATGTCACATTGAAAATTGTAACCTGAGGATAATTCATGATCAGTGTGATGCTTAGTCCGAGAGAATCTTAATAAGGTAGAAAAAAAAAGGACGATAGATGTGTCATATACCAAGCTTTAATGTTCTATATGAATGCAAAATCTGACTAAGGCAGTTGTCCAGAATTTCAGAGGCTTCATTGTAAAGCTTTATCAAGTCCAATATGAATATTTTACTATCAGATCCAATTTGCATAATTGAAACCTGAAAAAAAGACAGACACAACAAGGATAAGAATATTACATGTTAGGAAAGAGTAGAAACTAAAGAGTAAATTACCTTGTTTGGCTTACTGCCTTTAAGATAATTGGGTTTCCATTCACAGTCAATACCCACAACTTTACATCCTTCGAGAAAGGAAGTTGCTTTTCTTAACTCATTTACTTCATCAACCCAGACTACATCTTTCACGGCTAGGTCGGTGAGACGCAGAAAGCATTTGTTAACAAAACCAACCTCGGCCTCTACACAACATAAACAATACCATTGTAAGCGTCTTGTCGTTCTAATCACATTAGGAGAAGTTCCATGCAACAATATATATACCTTGTGCTTTTGGCAGACCTTCAAGTGAATATCGATTACACAGTTCATCAACCTTCTCGGAGTACCCAGCTTCCATTGCCAAGTATACCTTAAAACTCATAAGACCGTTAAACACTTGGGCAAAACAGATGATGACACAGAACAAATGACTACATAACATTGGGATACAAAACTCCCTATGAAATTGAAAAATGTCCTTATACATTTGATTATATTTACAAAAAGTGCTTACCAGATACTCTAGCAGCTGTCTTTCACCTTTTGCCTTTGTTTCAGCAACATCCCAGCATGCTTTTTCTGCTAGATCCTTCAGTGCACTGCGCGTAAATTGGAAAAAGGTAATGTTTAAGCGATAATTCTTTATATGCATTATCCCCATATCCTCAGCTGACTTGTTGGTGCTGGAGAGACAAGATCCAAGACAGTTAAAAGACAAGATGTATGCAGTTAATAAACCTTTCTTTACACTTGTAACACAAATCAGGAAAATCCTGGTGGAGATTGTTTTTCTTAATGACATTATAGGCCTGCTTTAGCATATTCCTCGAGCCATATTCATCGACAAGAATGCATAAACTGGGCTTTCCCATGAAAGTAGCCCATTTCTCTGCAGCTTGGAAGTCTTTATCCTCAACCATTTGTTGAAGAAAGGTGTGTCCAGGAAATCGTAAAGAAAAATGCTCTAACAGAGACACAGCCGTCATAAAAGATTTTGATTTGATCAGGTCAGATATGTAATGTTCCAGAAATGCAGTTCCACAAGAAAATCCATGTCCATGCCAAACTTCCAACGCAGGCAAGGCTTCATCGATGCTTGTTAACCCAACATCAAATACTTTAAGAGTATTCACCATTACCTTCTCATCATAAGCTACAGATCCTCCAACAGTAGCAAGGAAGAGTCGAGCAGCTAGCCTTCTTGCGGAAGACATGTCTTCTTGACTTGCTGGTGCAGACGCTGATTTGAAGTAGCGGCGAAGAGCCGATATCACCAAGTGACTAAAGCCTTCACCATATATCCCAAACACAAGGAGCACATTGAGGCACTGAACAATGAAAGTGGCAGGTCCTGGTTGGGGTTTATTTGCTAAAGCTTGATGAACTCGATGCTGCAAAGCTTGGAATTTCTTTGTTGCCTTCAAGCTGCCTGAAATACAGAAAGTAAAGCAACTCGAAAACTAATGTACCTAATTGGGGACTTGAAAAAGCAGCAAAGCCAGGACTTACCATGAACATAGCATTCTTTGAGAAGATACAAGAACACAACCGGAGAAACATTGGTTAAATCTGAAAATGCATGTAAAGACAGAGTTTCGGCTCCAGCTTCCTCATCTCTTACCCCCGGAACAGCTTCTTCAGGATCCAAATCCATCAAAACATGAAATCCAACAGAATTTCCAGAGAATTTCAAATTTCTACTCACTCCCCAGCCAACAAATCCTAATGTTCATACAAATGAAGGAAGAATCAAGGTCACAAAGTGAAAAACGAAATTATGCTTCCAAAACCAGGTCACAAAGTGAATGGAGACATGAAAATATAATTCCTCAGTAACTAAGAGCTTGAAAAATCAAAAGAAATTAGATCGTATGCATCACACTTTCCGGGAAAATTGAACCGGTCTCGACCCACCATATCTTTTTCTCTAACGGCGAAATCTCCGTACGTTGACTCCGTTCCGTTCATCTGGGTTTCAAATGGAAATTATATAAACCTCCGAGGGTG